ACATAGGCACTGGCTTCAAAGCTTGCTAAATCTATGGTTATGAACAAATAAATTTGATGATAAAAATATTTTTATTAGTTTGTGATAAACATTGCATACAATAATAAATATCTGCAAAAGCTGGCTAATAATATGTGATCAACAAATGTTGTTGCTCTTATTATTACAGTTCTATAAAAGATGGGGGAAAGAGAGAAATATATCCAAACCAATGTCATTTAATTTGTTCTACCATTTTAGAGAAATTATTTAAAAAAAAAACTATTGGCTTATTTATATGCATCAGTTGCCAATAACACTAGAAAATTGAAAGCATTACTGCAAAAAAGTAGAATATGTGCAATTATGGAAAATAATCTAAGTTTTATGATATTTGTGGAGGACAGGATAATTGTCAAAGCCTTTATGAAAGCAAGTACACCCATTAATTGCATATCTATTGAGATTGGCAGAGACATTCCCAAGTAGTATTTATGTAATATGCATTTCCTCTAAAATGGAGGCCTAATTGCTCAGTTATTCTAAATTACAGAATGGAAAACAAAGGAGCAGTTTTGGCCATGTGGGTAAACAACGGATTTCTAAAAGCTAATTATCTCTTTATTTAATAGACTGAAGTTGCACCAAATGAGACATTTAAGTCTAATAAATAATAGACAAATTGTAACCTAAAGACTAAAATATAGGAGCTGCTCATATAGTTTTTATTGCTCCATTAAATAAACTCTTATTTACTTCCCTCACAAAACATAATTATACAACACTGGGTCCATTTCAAGGCCATTTTGATGTGCTATTTAAAAATTATGTGAATCAACTTACATAGTCAGGAAGTCTTAAAGCATAATATTTGAATTCTATTATCAAATGCCCTATTTGTTTCCATGATTCAGAAATAGAAATGGAGTTTGGAAAAAGTTGTACATAATCACATAAAACCACTATTACTATTTGTCTGAAAAGAAATGATTACATATAAGGATTGCTATGCTCTTTAAGTAAGTACTACTGTTTATACTTACTAGCTTCTATATAAGCTGTATAACACTTAGATATTTTCTAAATTAAAGTAATATAAATGTAAACATTAGCTTTAGACAAGTCATTCAAAATTCACATACCAAAAAATAAAGACATCATGAAAATGTAATCTGCTTGTTTATTCAACACAACAGCAAATCATTCAACAGAAATAACTGTACATTTGAATGTTTATGAGACCTCCAGGCTCATCAGTATTAAGGAAAACAAAAATGAGAAAAATGACCTCTTAGCGCTCTAACATGATATGAGATTCTGTGTTTTCTTAATTTTTTGCTGAAAAGGATTTTAATGTTTCATCTTTCTTCTTGGTAAAAGTTAGCCCATCATTTTATCTTTATTTTCTTTCTATTAACAAAAATTATATTCTGAAATGATAGGGATAATAAACAATAGTAGATTTGAAAACAGTTGCCTGCTCCCTTGCTAAGGGCAAGTAATGATTTATGATGGGTAAGGAAGAATAGGGATTTAATTTACTCTACTACCTCAGGGAGTGATGCAAGAATTTGAACATCTGAAAAAACTCAGTTCTTATTTGCATGGTAGAAATGCTAAAGTCAGGAAAATATATGGAAAAAAGCTCCCTGTGGATTTTTGGCAGAGCTATGTGAAGATTTTTCAGTTCCTCTATCATTCTAGGGTGTGTGTCCTACATACAAAAATAAGATAAAACAAAAAGTTCTTGGTCCAGAGAGATAACAAAAAACTAATATATATTCAATAATTCGCCCTTCTATATTTTTTCACTTTTTCTAAAGACTAGGAAAGTCAGACTCAAAGTTTCTAATAAAGAGTTGAGTTGTACAATGCTGTAGACTAAAATATAACACCTGCAAGAAAAAAATTTTAGCTGATCCTTACAGAAGTTTGTTTAAAAAATATATACTACATTAGCCACAGACATACATCTACTTATCTGGAAATACATTGCTTATAAATTCTATCAATTTCTGATGATATTTATGAATATTTTAAATTAAGAAATTTGGTATCTATTAATATTTACCTTAGTTCTAAGACTAAATTTTTCGCCACCACAACCACCCTTAGCCAGGCTCCATTTTAATATTCTGTCTTATTTCATATAAAGCATCTGAAATTACCTTATATATTTGGTTATCTGATAAATTCATTAGAATTTTGAGCTTCACCACAGCAGGGATATTGTTTATTCTTATTGATCACTGTAATCCCAGCTTTAAAAAAAAGCATTTGTTGATGAATAAAAAAAACAATAAAAAGTGGCCTGAGGAAGTAGGTAGTTGGGCAGTGGTTAGCTAGGAACTACATCCCATATCAGAGATCCTGGCTCTACTTTATGTCCTCTTCCCGCTAATGTACACACTGTATGGCAGCAGATGGTGGTTCCTATCCTCCATGTGAGACTCCCAGACCAAATTCCAGGCTGCAGGCTTATGCCTTGCCCCGGTTGGTTATTGCAGGCATTTTGAGTGTGGACCAGCAAGGGAAGAAAGTTGTTAAGAAACTGGTGAGAGGATGACTTTCTAAACTTAAAGGTAACAGAAAAAAAAAAAAATCACAAAAGACAACACATAACAGAATAAAATAAAATACTTAAACATATATGAAAATACAAAAATAAAAATCCAAATTGGAAAAAACATTTAAAAAGTAAATATGAATGAGTAATAATCTAATGTATAAAATAATAAGACTAAGACAACACAATTTACAGCACAGGAAATACAAATAACTATAAATACTTAGATACTTTGCAACTTTCACAGCAAGGAAATACAAATTAAGATAAAACAAGACTTTAAAAAATCTATTTAACAAGCAAAATACTTAAGAGATTGACTTCACCAACGCACAATAATAGCCCACTGTTGAAAATGGGGCAATTAGAAGAACACTTGAAGAATTTAGCACTATGCATCATAAGTCTTAAAAATATTTCTCTTTTTCTTCTATACCATAATAAAATAATTACCCATTTTAAATTATATTATTTTTGAAGATTTATTTATTTATTTGAAAGGTAGAGTTACAGATAGAAAGAGAGAGATCTACCAACCGCTGGTCACTCCAAAAATGGCTGCAACATCCAAGACTGGACTAGATTGAAGCCAGAAGCCAGGAGCCTCTTCCAGGTCTCCCACATGGGTGCAGGGGCCCAGGAGCCCAGGGGCTTGAGTCACTTTCCACTGGTTCCCCAGGTGTACTAGCAGGGAGTTGGATCAGAAGTGGAGCAGCCAGGACTCAAACCAGAACCCACATGGGATGCCAGTGCTGCAGGCTGCGGTTTAATCTGCACACCATAATGTCAGCTCCACATTTTAAATTATTAATGGATAAACATTTGTCACATTGAAAAGCTGGAACTACCTAAAGCTCTATGACTTTATTACTGACTAATGCAAGTTAGATACTGCATATCTGATGGGTTGCTAACACAGATAATAAAAATTACAAAATTAAAAATAGGTTATGAAAAATATGAAACATTTATAACATTAAACAAAATAGAGATACTAATTTGTGTATTCCCTAGAATCACAGTTATTATTGAAAGGTACAAAAATTTAAAACTGCTAGGACAATATTAACAGTGATTCTATGTATAGGCAGAATAGAGGCAATGGTCTTTTAATGTTCTACTTTTGAGATGTTTAGCAGTAAATCTCAAAGTATTGTTTAAACTGAAATGAGATAAAATAAAGTTACTCTTAAGAAAACTTCAGGAGAAATAAATTTAAATTAAAACATTACTAAGAGTATATTGGAAGTTTGATTATGATTTTTGCAGCCTATTGAGTTTCAACTTCTCAAATCAATGTAACAGAATTCCTAAGAGGTTCTGTGTGATGGGCTCTGGGAAACAATCAACAACAATACAGCCAATGTGTCAGCCAGTAACTCATCTAAACAACTCTTTAGCCAACACTAAAAGAGCTAATGTTCAAATTCCAGGATGTTCCATAAATTAGTAAGTAATACATTAATTTCAAATTAACTCCAGAAGCATATTTTAAAAATTAGTAATGAAACCTGATCTTCATTTTTGTTAACACTTTAAGATATTCCTGAGAATGCTGCCTGAATTTCAAGCGTAATGAAGAAGAAATTGTGCTTAGATTTTTCTTCCCAGGGAAAAACAAGTGCAATGCATTAAGGTACTCAGTTTGCTTTATTAAACATAAAATATGCCTGTAAAAGTGAAGGTAACGAAGGCGAAGTAGGCATCTCTGTCTATCCCAGGGGAAACCTTAGGTGAATTTGCAACCCTGAGTTGTAAACTATGGTGATTTAGCAGTGAAGCTGATGAATTTTAATTAAAGCTTTCTGCAATCCTTAGTGACCTGGAGACGGAAGAACTAGAATTTTCAGGAGGTAAAAATAAAAGTACAATTTACCTAATTCTTTTGCTTCTAAGTGTTGCCTTTTTGCTTTATAAAATATATGTGTACATGCTTCTGCAAAAGAGCAATTTAAAATTTCTTCTTTTCTATTTTTTCCCAAAGACTTTTTATTAAAGATAATGTAGAAATATACAAAAGCAGATAAAATGGTATACTGAACATACCCTTCCATCCCAAGTACCTGATACCCAACATTAGCAATTCGCATTTATAGCCAATTTGATTTCATCTATAAGCTCACTACTTCCCAGCCACATAAAATTATTTTGACTTAAACCCTGCATATCATGACCTTTGTATGTAAAATTTCATTATGAATTTCTAAAAGATACCTTGGAATATATTGATAATGATACTGTCATGTCTATGAGAAAAAAAGTATTCAAATTTTTCACATTGCTATTTTCCACAGGCATTTATTGGGATTGGAATGAATGCACTCAAGTTCAATATATTTTTCAATTGGTTGGTATGGTTCTTAAGTCTTTTTGATATAACCAGTTTCCTTTCTATCACCTTCAACCCCCTGTCTTTGGAGTACAATGTTCAAGAAACAAAGTTGATAGTACTTACCAGTCTTCATCTCCAGTAAGCGTTTTTTCTTTTGCTGGCGTTCAAGTCTTTCTTTCTCTGCTAATTCCTTAGCTATTCTGGCACGTTTTTCTTTTTCCTCTGCTTCTCTTTTTTTGATGTTCTCCTTTACTGCTTGCTATTACGAATAAATTTTGAAAAATAATTAATTTTAATCATCTTGATTCAATAAGAAAATGGAAAACTGTCAATCCAAAATTACACTCAATGCAGAACCACAATTAAATGTCTTTTAGATGACTGTTAGTACTTATATTAGTAGCACAGTCTTTTAAATGATGTACATCAACCCTGGTAAAATATACCATGTATCTAAAGTTGTGACTGTTTTGTTTAAAATATCTGCATCTTAGTGGAAGTAACTAACTAAAAGTTAGAAAGGAGACAGAAACTAACAAGAAAGCATTTAACTCATAAATCAAAAATTTTCCATATACATTTTCAAAATAGTATCTAGTAACTGTATTATACTTTTTTTACCTAGCAAATTATCCAGCACTGGAAAAATGATAGAAAAAAGCTGAAATCTTATGATGGGTACTTCATACTATTTGTTGAACTCTACTTAATCATATGTATATAAAGTTAACTGAAAATACATCTTAGTTAAAAATAAGAATGGGAAAAGGAGAGGGAAGAGGAAGAGGGGTGGGAGTGTGGTTGGGAGGGTGGGTATGGTGGAAAGAATTACTGTTCCTACAGTTGTATTTATGATATACACACAGTTTGTATTCCTTAAATAAAAGGTTTCTGAGAAAAACAAATAAATAAATGCCTGCTGTGTGCTGGCACTGAAAAAAAAAAACAACTAATTTTCTAATTTAAGCTGAATCTTGTCAAGGAGCTAGCTAAGTGACGATCTCAGGGAAGAATATACCAGGCAGAGGGAGGTGCAAATACAAAGCTACTGGCGGGTTTGAGAGACAAAAGGGCCAACATATTGGTAAGATGAGGGCAAGGAAGTATGGTGACGTATAATCATTTAAGGTTTCTGGGCCAACAAGAGAGAGGTTGCTTTCTTTTAAGGGTACTGGAAAATAACTGAAGATTTTCAAGCAGCGAAGTGTGAGATTCAGTACTCTAAGATAAAAACATCAATCAAGCACTTGTTTCAAACTATCTTTCAAACATATTGTTTTTTATTTGTTTAACATCTTATATGGTGAAACATCAAGCCTTTTACTGTAATATAAACTAAAAATATGTGAAAAACTGAAAAGAGGGAAGAGAGAGGAGGAGGAGAGGGAGGAAGGTGATAGCATTATGTTCTTAGTATTTTTTATCTACAAATCAGGTTGAATCTGTTAAAAATGAATTAAAAATTAAAATTAAAATACAATTTTAAACAAAGAACTGAATAATGAACAGTCTTGCAGGATAACTGCTTCCCTCCTAGGCCAATGGCTTTGTTTACCATCCATAGTGATACACAGGGGCAAAAGTTAGGCAGCCTAACTACTTACAGAAGACTGAGTCTGGCAGTCCAAGACTCCTTTCTGGTAACACATACCGCTATGAATGCAGGTATTATCTGGTCCTGGAAGCTAAAATCTTGATCACCCTAGCTACTGCTATTGCTGTAATAAACTATTTCTTGACTGTGATCCAGTCTTGTTTCTTTTACCAGCATCCATGAAACTGTGGGCGGTCAATTTGATAACCTGCCTGTAGGCAAACTTTGACATTATCCACAGTTTCTGACATACATTAACACTAATTATTAATGCTAAGCTAGGAGATATCAGCTGCAATACTAAATGCTTTAACAGACAATGTAAATCGCAAATTGGATCAAGCTTTCCCCATTCTAGCACAGAATGGTTAAGTACATGATCACCATAATTAAAATAGTAAGAGGAAGTGTGTTGCAAGATTTCAAAGCTAGCTATGGTGTTTTTTGCACTGTGATGCTTTATATTATCACATATGTTTAGAGTCAGCACAGAGACAATAGCTGCCTAAAAAAAAAAAAATACGGAGGTAGGAAAAGTCATCACAAAAGACAAAATAAGCATGAGTTCAAAGCCAAGTGTGTACACCTGCGTGAACTTACATGTGCAGGCGTACCCATGTCCCACACGAAAAGAAGGAGGGGTAGGAACAGTAGATTGTAATGAAAAGAAAGATGAGCAAATATTTAGGAATCAAAGCCATATTTTCTGCTTGAAGGAAATGATTAAGAGAAATCTGCCATTGATAAATATATCGTAGTTTACTATGAATCTTATTAAAGTATAAAATTTTCTCATATGAACTTTCTACTTTCAGTGTATATATATACATGTATTTTCATTTAAACTGTTTAATAGATCTAACACCAGATATAATTCCCACACCCTTTTAGTATTCTATTGGGTCAAAAAAGTCAAAATTACTCTCTAGGATGTATAAAAAGAATGTTTACATTTAGAAATAAGGTCTGGAGTAGTTTCATTTCCTTTTTCGCAGCTACATTTCAAATTTATTTTCAAATATTTTGGGCTAGGCCAATGGGAAACAGGCAAAGCTACCTTTCGGGCGTGGCGCCTGCTGTTGCCCCCAAATGTCAAAGACTGGCATTTGATGCCACAATCCCCAGTCAATGCTCTGATGAATCAAGTCCCTTCTTCCAGGGGCTCAGCTGCCCACCCACCGGGTTACAGTCACCAGAGACTTTGAGGCTGCTGAATGACACCTGGCACCACCCAGGGAAACTTGTGTGCCGGGATTCTCTCTCTGCCTGCCGGAACACAGGCTGGCCTCCTGCGGTGGCCACTCTGTCTGGATCGGACCTCTCCTAGCTTGAGCCCTCGGGCTTTCCTTCCTCAGCAGGCACCTCGGCTTCCTAGGCGGGTGCCTTGGGATGAAGTGGGGGCGTTTGAGTCTGTCTGGTGGTGTCGGGTGCAGCGGTGGGTGGCGAGGTGCATCTTCCGTCCCGAAGGTGGAGGAAGCGTTCAGGGAGGTCAACTGGGGGCCCCCTTCAGATCAAGTACTGCTTTCTGCGGCTGCCGCGGGCGTCCTGGAGCGGGAGGCAGCCCTACAGAGCTGCGTGAGCACTCTCGGCGAACTCCATGCCCTTGGTCTCATTGGTGTGGTACGTGCCCTTGTGCCGGTACAGGTAGTGTAGCATGACGAGGATGAGGCAGATCAGGACGAGGGCCATAGAGACGATCACGCCTGCAATGATGACAATGTCCAGCATGGAGGCCATCCTTGGGCCGAGCTCATGGCGCCGGCGCGAAGGCCGTTGAGGCCGCGCATCACTGATGGGCCCTAGGCGCCTGCCCAGGGTCAGGCCAGAGTGGGCGGCCCAGGGGCTGCGATGCAGCTGTGGCCCGGCCTGGGGTTCTTAAAACGGTTTTTGTTTTATGGAAAATGCACTACTGATTTTCATTTAAAAGTCTATCTTATTTACAACACATTCTGAAATTTTAACTATGAGAATGTTAGCTGGAAAAATAGCAATAGACAGCATTGTAATAAGTATTTAGGCAAACTAACATCCCAGATCAAATAGTAGATCGAGATATTTCTTTTATTCCAAAGAAATAAAAGTAGCCTAAAATGGAAGAGCTGAATGCTTAATGACATTATGATATTATTCAGGATACAGCCACCTCTTAGTTGCTTTGGTCCTAAATTCAAAGCCAGAGATAGTTGGCTATAAGATCAATTTTCTGAAAAGCCATCTTATTCTCGACCTGCTTTTCTACATGCAGATTGGCAAATACACGGCCCTGCAACTACTTGCAGCTAGAGATTTTCTATTTAATTTTTATTTTATTTATTTGACAGAGTTAGACAGTGAGAGAGAGATAGAAAGGTCTTCCTTCCGTTGGTTCACCCCGCAAATGACCACCATGGCTGGCACTGCGCAGATTGGAAGCCAGGAGCCAGGTGCTTCCTCCTGGTCTCCCACATGGGTGCAGGGGCCCAAGAACTTGGGCCACAGCAGACAGCTGGACTGGAAGAAGAGCAACTGGGACTAGAACCCGGCATCCATATGGGATGCCAGCGCCGCAGGTGGAGGATTAACCACAGGCGGAGGATTAACCAAGTGAGCCACCGCGCAGGCCCCAACAGCTAGATATTTTCTAAGAGGAACTCTTTGAACAGTAACTTCCCAGGTGCAGTCTGGTACATCCCTTATCCAAAAGATCCCTGGGCTTTGACCACTGTCCTAGCGGTGACCACAGAGGGTTTCAAAACTACACTCTTATTTTGCCTGTTTATTTCAAAGGCAGTCAATAACCTACCTGAACGCCCAGGGCTCAAATAATTTTTATGGTAACAGCAGATTGAAAAATCCAGATATATTAACAAAATACATTTGCTAATATGTGTTAATATGTGTTGAGGAATGCATGTGTATGTACTTGTGTGTGTTCCGGAAAGAGAACATATGAACTTATTATTTCCCAATTTTTATGTAATAAGAACTTTACTGTGACTAGTGTAAACGTATATGACAGCACTATGTAACATGTTTTCTTCTCAAAGAAATCAAAATGTCCCAAAGCCAGTAAAGGTAAATGATTATGTGTGTATATATAAAATTATATTTGTATTATAACATATATAGTATATAAGATATTTTATATATATATATAAAATTTTAGAATGTTTTGCAAAGACTAATGCTTTGTAAATTGTGGCTATTATTATCCTGAACATTATCTTTGAGTTTTATGAAAATGGTATCATCCTCGATGATACCAAGTCTAACTTGTTTTCATTCAATATTTTTTTCTAGGATACATTCATATTTTTATATATAAATGGTATTTGATTTTTATTGCCTATAATATTAAATTGTTTTTTATTTACTCTCCTCGCCTATCAGTGAGAATTGAGTTCTTTTCACATTTTAGCTATGAGGAACAATACAGATATGAACATTTCTGTAAATGTCCCTGTGTGTAAGAATTCTTTAATAGCAGTTTCCATTACTTGGTTCCTAAGTCAGTTTAGATACTGTTGACAGCTTTTGAGTGTAACACAGCAGTAAGGCTAAGTATTATTTGTTAAAGCTTTGTGTTCTAAAAATATACATAAGAATACTCTCATTGTAAAATATTATTGAACAATGTGGACCATGATCAAAACAGATTGAAAGCCACAGATCTCTAGGGTGGTAGA